GCCACGCAATCAGTTCTTTTGGACTACCCGTAAACATGTTTAAAGAATTCACCTCGCTTATATGCGATTTGGAAATCGCCGTCTACTTAAAAGATTGCCTAATCTTTTAATTTATAAGACTGGGGTTTGTGAATGAAAACTAGGAAATACTAGAGAGCCAGCTGCCTCTTTTTGACTAGCATTGAGATCTGCTCAGTTTAAGCTTGAGGTGTACGAACTCTGAAGTCTATTTTCCATCTTAATATCGAAGAATATGCGTGCTGGATAGATTTTTCCAGCCAAATACGTGTCACACATCACAAACCAATCGCGGAATATGTGCCGATTCACGAAGCTACGTGCGTTTAAGCAGGAAGGAATAATCCGTCCTATAGTTAAGACTGCGGCCCGATACACAGCATACACGGAAAAGCATAGACAATTAATCGACTGTGCTGAGTATGTCTTCGAGTAGAAAGATTATAAGAAATAGAAACACTAAAAGTTGTACGATGATGCTTTTTTTGTCTGGGATGCCCACATTTCCACGATGAGTCACAGAAAAGCACGCGCGCGTGTCTCCCACGCTGCAGACCATCGATATGCGGTCAAAAGCATTCCGCATTGGCTGTGGCCACAGCGCTCTCCGCAGATCTGATTGGCCCATATCTGCGAGAAATTGGTCTGCCCTTCTAGAAATTTCGCTTGAAGCGGATTGGGCAGAGTAATAGCCAACCTGAATGGGATGCTATAAATATACGCAACTTTTCAGTGAGAAGGACTTGCAAGTTTTGAATAAACTTTCTCATTGTCGATCCCGTCCTCTTTCTCTTCTGTGTTGGTGTTGGGGCACCGGTCGAGCAAGCATACACTCCGTGGGGATTCTAAGTACTAGGCTGCGTCTTAACACTTTTCTCATAGTATTATGTTGTCATTGCGTTATTTTTGTTGGTGTCAACCCCCTATGTAAACTGCACGGGCAAAAATGCTTACTTAATTAGATGGGACGATCTGTATCGAGCGCAGACGCTTGTATATAATGACTCTTTTGTTCCTGTGGAGGTTATTCTGTGTTCACTTAAACAACTCACAGAGACCGTCTGTGCAACTTTGACGCCTATGAACAGGGCTTATTTCGATTACTAATAGGTTCAAAATTTTCTTAAATTCTTAAGATTGCAAACCATAACTTCCTAAAGCAAACCCGCGTTTTAACTTGATCCAAAATTTGTAATACTACGTTCCGGGCAGGTTTTAGAAACTATGGTGATGTATGCCTCATATGCATACGAGCATATTTCTTGGCATTTTATGCGTAAGAATTACTTTGTACACCTTGACTGACACATTAATGCACCGGAAGATACCTGGTGTAAAGGGCAGACGTGTGAGTGTCACAGGATTGCTCCTATATCCAGACTGCTAAACTATCGACATATGAGCATAAGGTGAAATCCTTTGTCCTGCTTCGATAAATTCATCACAGGTTAATTGGGAAAAGCAACAAGAATGAAACTTAACCGTAACCTGGAGGGCCTCTGTGTTCCATTCTTTGTTTACTTGGCCCAATCCGTTTCCTAAGGTAGAGGATGCTTAATGATCGGGTTATGAGACTTACTCCTCCCGTTATGCCTTTGGAGTTAATTTAGAGGCCCGCAAACACCCACCTAGGGGCTATTAATATACACTCGTTGATGAACGTTCACCGTTTACTAAGGGAACTCACTCGCCCGCTCTGCATTGAGACTCACTCTTGAGCCCCGCTAGCGTACGCAAAGCGGTTGGCAATTTTCTTCCTATTAATGGCATTAACAGCGAGGACGAGGGAGACTTGGAGGGCCATTCGTGGCTTATTAGCCCTCATCAGCCAGCCATACTCAGCCGCAGGTTTTAAACTACCTAGGGTTCAAACGCGCGACTTGTTGCTTATCAATCCAACGTTCTCAACATGCAGTCAGGGGCTCGTTGTCCTATCGGTTATGATCCATTGAGGGCTCTCAGTGACCGCGTTATATGATCCATTCATCCCATCGTGCCTTGGGAATCTGTGAGCTGTACGTTTTCATTCCTTTACAATGGCCTCGAGTGGGAGTCCGAAACGTCGGGCAACTAAGATACTGGTCCCAGAGAACTTTCTTCCGCCTTCTATGCAATTGCCTGGGCCTCGCATATTTTCGGCCGTTGAGAACGTTTGTAACTATTATGTTTCCTTATGAAATCACTGGTCACGAGAATAAAGTTCAATGGAAAGCCTTCGCTGAGTTCTTGAGCACAAATGGTCGAAAACGAATACTACAGTTTTCCGTGTCCACCACCAAACCTAGTGAGTCTGCACGGACTTAATATCCAACGAAAAAGGATGGATGTACTATCGAAACTTGCGGAAAAATGAACCCAAAGTCATTATGGACCAAATGGAAGCATCCAGAACTACCTGGATGTGGGCTCTTGCAGTCACTGCGCTATATATCTAGAGTCGTTTACCGGACCTGGTTCAGCTGTGGACGGCGTGCATATCTCAGAGAACATGGACGATTACTCTGGACGCAAATAGCCGAACATGCGGCGACAGTGAGGAGGAATGGTGCCAGTTCCCAGGCCACGGCTCGTTCAACGGCACCCGGCAATGCCCTCGTATGTGACGTCTGACCAGGAAAAGTCCTGTTTCGGTGATTGTACCTTATAATGAGAAGAGAGAATGTTTGCATCTAAGAAGAATCAACAAACATACAAAGGCAGCATGCTGGCGATCAACATTTCCGTTTTCTGTTTCTCCTCCTGTAGCTCTCTTGTCCTATCCTCCACCTGAGCTTCAAGCTCCGCCGAGTATTCTTCCATGATCCTGGTTATGTGATCTACGATGTTCATGTTTCTGGAAGCAAAAAGTTGACAAA